ACCCACTAACCTATCGACCTTCTGGGAAAACGAATAGTGAACTTTTATTTGTTAGAAATATGTTTTTTGTCCATTCATGTAGTGTCTGTGCCCATGTGACCCCTTTCGATCTAATCCTTAAGCATTACAAGTTCCTACTCTATGCCCAACAGCTAGATACCTTTTTGTTAAGGGTTTTATTCCAGGTTATTTGTATGGAAATGCTGGTTAAAAAGATGAGGGCAGCAACAACCAGAATAGACAGTACATACTGCCATCTAGTGTTTACAGAGAGCAGGCAACCTAAGCAAATTAATTTGACAAATTGCAATGGAGATTAAGCTCCCTCAATTAAAATCAGAAACTGATTCATATTCGACTGATTGGTTGGATGAAAAAAGATATTATTTTAAAGAGTTGCGTCTATAAAACATTTAAAATGATTTTTCTCATATAACCGCAGGCACATTTATCTGCTGTATCTAAATGTGCTTGTTGGTGTCTGTCTCAGGACTGTTTTATTCTCTATGGCAGTAATGTCAACACTGCAAATTGTTATTCTAACATTGATGTACAGCTTATCATCCTCATCCAAGCTCTTACTCAGCAGCAGTTGGCTTTTACTACTGAAAGTTTAAATGTTATTATTATTATTATTTTTTTTGATGTCAACACAAAATGGTTATCAACAAAATGGAGGTAGAAAGAAAATCATACATTTTTTTACAAGTGATGTATGCATATCTAGGTAAATTTTTCAGATTTGTCCTTGAAAAGCGTACCAGAGGAGGAAGGTAAAGATTTATTTTTGCAAATTAGTTCAAATGCAAAGAAACCAAGATCCAGCCACTTTCAGGTCTTTTCTCTTTTCATGATGGCCAGACTTCTGGAGTGCAAGGCTAAAAGATATCCCCATCATCTGATCCTTTTACCTGCACTGTGGATCTTGCCATCATTCCCAGTTACCTGGATCTTGGATGAATGCTAAAAAAAATTTCTGAAGAACTCAGAGAAAATCTGTGTTTATAGTGAAATAACATTTCATACAGGTGGACAGTATATTTAAATCAGAGAATGAGTGAACACCGTTTGGTTGCACTGGATTTTATTTAGGAGTACCAGAGTAAATGGGGCAGATTCTAATGCACAGTAGATGTTTTTCCACATTTTTTTTTTCTGTTAAGAAAAGTAGCCAAAGTGTTTATCTTTTTTCCTTAAAATACACCAATTAAATATTTTAAGTTTGTGTTTGCTACATGATAAAACATGGCAAACATAAATATCAAACTACTTGTGCACACAAGTAGTTTGATGTTACGTTCGTTGGGCTTTCAAGGCTGAAAAAGGAGAGACAATGGCTCTTGAATCCATAAAAACAGAAGAAACCATGAATGCAAACCCTAGCCGTTTATTTATATGATATTTCATAATACAAGATTATAACTTTCAATAGATACATATGTACTTTGTGTTTATAGGTAGGCATTACACATTCAAGTCCAGGTTCAGTGCAGTGATGAAGTGTCTAATGTGAATTTTTCCAGATTGTTATCATCAAACTAGAAGTGAACAAAGAGCTTTACATCTGTTTGCACTTCTTTTAATTTATTTCTCAAATTTTCTCTTCTTACCTGCTCTTTCATCATCCATTTATATCTAAATTAATGTAAATAATCTCCCTGGATTATTTTTTTTTTCTGTAGTCAGACTCTATCAATTTGATTAATTTAGGATTAGTTCTCTTAAAGGAGTGAAAGACAATTATTCCAGAATTCCTCCATTGTGGTTGTAGGATTTTGGGTTATCAGGGGAAACATGCACTGATATAATTAGAGATCCAAGAAGGTCCACATTTAGGTTGCAAATCAATTCAAAACTGGATTATCCCAGATTGTGAAGGGTCTATTTGCCAAAAATAATATAAAACTGAGTAAACTTAGAACCAGATGTTCATAGGAGTGCAGATTATAAAGGTAATGCACATTTTACTGAGTATTTAAATCTTTACAAATTTCATCGATCTTTGAATTTTTGGTGTTCTTGAATATTTAAGATAATTAAACAACTCCTAATTTCAGGCATAAATAATCAGAGCTAATTCAAAAAGCAGTTTTTAGATGATTTTATCTACCAACCAAGCCTCACATGAAAACTGACTGCACCTGTTTTAAAGCCTCAAATTAACTGTGGTAAATCCCTTAATTTTGGTTTAATTTCAATAGTAATATCAAAGCAGACACCAGAGTCTAATTGAATTTATCAAGAAAACAGGGAAAACAAAAAACCCTGATCCCAACGAAATCAGTACACTGATCTAGACATATGAAGACCAGATATGCAACATAATTTATGAGGCCGAGTCAAGTTCCATGGTTTGCCTTCCCTAAGCTGTTTACTTGTGGATCTCCTTGGACCAAGAATCTGCTCTAGAGCTTCTTCAGTTGAAGCCTGCCTACTTTTAAACTCTGTCCTTTGGAATTGGGATTGTTTTTCCTTTTAAAGGCCTACCAGTAACTCCATCATGGTAAGCCAGTTTATTACATTCATTAAGTACAAGATACTGAAATCGCCTTTGCTAATTATTCTCAGTTGCCGGTCAATCCTGCATTTCAAAAGCTGGTTTTAATCCTTTCATTTTTTCAATAAGAATTTTAATTGCTTACTTGAGTCCTTCTGGGGATTTCTGCATGTTGGCCAAAAAGACCCTAAATCCATGTTATAGTCAAATTTCAGCTTTAAATACGGTTTAATTGACCATAAATTGACAAGTCATCATAAAAAGTAAAAAAAAAATAAAATAAGGCTAAATTAAAAAACAATTCTAAGAATTGGTGTGACATCAATCACACCAATTCTACAGCCAAGGAACTGGTTTTGACTGAATTGATATAGCCAAGGAACTGGTTTTGGCTGAATTGATACAGCCAAGGAACTGGTTTTGGGAGTCATTATATATAATATAGAGTGGTTCAATCTGAAATATTGCCAGCAAAAATAAGCAAACATGAATGAAATCTTCAATGAAGTTAGATACTTTTCACGGCATTGCAAGTCATAATCTATGCAAAGGAAAGGGTGCATGGCATTTGCCACATGTGATCTGTGCTTATATCATACAGTCTTGGGCAGAAACCTTAACACTGTTCAAAACATTTGGGAGAAAATCATATCCAGTTCTCAGAGTGTCAAAGGTTGGAGCCTTGAGAATAAAAGGCATTCATGCTTTTGTCGGTGAACAGCAGTAAGGATCCCAGTGAAGCTTGGGGGACAATCAAAGTGTGTCGCTTTAAGAAGGGAAACGTGTGTGTTGTCAGAGGGGGCTTGCAGCTGTCACAGTAGATGTAGAGAGGGATAAGAAAAAGGGGCTCACAAACTTTTCAGATACTGACTCTAAGTTTGTTATTGTGAACATGTGTGTTTATGCATCCTGAGGCACTCTGGAGTGCATGAATGAGTGAGTTCAGGTTTTATAGCAGCTGATGTGTCTTTAGACAGACACAATTTCATCATCTGGATCTATTATATCAACTTTTAAGTTAATGACATCAGTTCACACTCTTACGCAGCCTTTACAGTTGCTGACACATATCATTCCCTTTTGAGTACATTTCCCAATGCACAGCAGAGGCTGTGATGCATCAGTCTCAGAGGAAAGGGTTGTGGCTATACGTTTGTGTCTGAGCATGTGGTGCCGGTCGAGGAGACAGAGGGAGCAGAGGCTGCGGGAGGTTAGAGGGAAGGTCCAAGATCCCAGAAGAAGGCTGTGTGAGGGAGGATGGCAGGACAGGCGGCTGGTGGAGCAGAGGAAGAGGCAACGACGGGCTGTAAGACAGCATGTGGGGGGGCAGCGGCGACGTAGAGGAGGGTCGCATTTGGTTGAGGGTGAGCCGTGGTTGGTCGCAGTGAAAAGGATTGGTGGGAGATGGTGCGCTCAGACCTGAGAGGACAAAATTTGGTTGGATACTCTGAATAAGGCAGGAATAAGTTAAGAACTAAGAAGCTGCACAGTACCTGAGAGGAAGGGGTTGTTTTGCATCTTAGCAGGGGGCTTGGGGGGAATCAGAGTGTCCAAATTGACCAGCGAGGCCCCTGTGGGTCCCAGGAAGGTCTCTGGAGTCTGGCAAACACGAGCAGCTGGGGCGGCGAGGGGTGGCGCCAAGCAGGAGAGGTCAAACATCTCCGGACTGGCCGACATGCGACCGTTCACCTGGTGCTTTAATGACGGATCTGGTTTGAATGGATCTGAGCGGGAGTCTTGCTCAGGAAACAGTTCAAACTCTGTTTTTTCAGCAAACAACTCTGCATCTGGAAAATGAGAACAAAACAAGGTTTTAGAAATAACCTTTACTAAAACTGCAAAGTGCAAAGATGAGAAATAAAAACAAACCCCAAGAGAGCCCATAACACCAAAAATTTTTACATAAAGGTTTTGAGATAGTTCCGATATCAGGTTCAGATTTTCCTGTAATATCGACAAACTTTAATGTATTTTGTTATAGTTACCAAATACCAACAAAAAGTACATTGGCCTTTTTCACGCAAGGTCACATACAGTAGGGCCAAAAAGTATTTAGTCAGCCACTGATTGTGCAAGTTCTCCTACTTAGAATAATTAGAAAGGTCTGTAATTGTCACATTTCAGCTATGGGAGATGAAATGAGAATAAATAAAAAAATAATATTGTAGGATTTAAAAAAAAATGTAAATTATGGTGCAGATCTACAATTTTCTTCCTGGTGTCTTCGATAGCTCTTTGGTCTTGGCCATGGTTGAGTTTGGAGTGTGCGGCTGTGGACAGGTATCTTTTATACAAATAACGTGTTCAAACAGGTAATACAGGTAACGAGTGGAGGACAGATGAGCTTCTTAAAGAAGAAGTTTCAGGTCTGTGAGAGCCAGAAACCTTTCTGAGTGACCAAATACTTATTTCCCCCCTATAATTTACAAATAAATTCTTTAAAAATCCTACAGTGTGATTTCCTGCATTTTTTTTTCTCATTTTGTCTCTCATAGTTGAAGTGCACCTATGATGAATATTACAGACCTCTCTAATTATTCTAAGTAGGAAAACTTGCACAATCAGTGGCTTACTAAATACTTTTTGGCCCCACTGTATATTTTGATTTCATTCACTGATAATAACAATGATAGGTGCCTGGACATAATATTGATATCTATTCTCTGGTGGAAACATCCCAAAAGACATTAAATGGGCCAGTCATACACAAAAACCATCCAAAGATGTCAAAATTAAAACAAAGTTTAATCTAGCTTTGGATAGCTTTAATAGGCCCACATTTATTTATAATTTGAAAACGGCTTAGGGTTGTCTTTTTTGCTAAAGCAAATCAAATCATGATATAGCAAAAGATTTCTGTGACAAAATAAAAAAAAAAATTGTTAACAGCTGTGTTTTCACGCCATAGTGCATGCTAAAACAACACTCTTTTCTTCCCTCATATTTCTGTGTGTATCCACTCCATGCAGTACATCTTCCAATGTGAAGCATGAGTGTAAGCAATAATAGCAAAAACCCCTTTAGATGTATTTGCCATCCATCCATCCATCCATCCATGCATTTTCTGACACGCTTTATCCCAAGTGGGGTCACGAAGGGCTGCTCTTGCCTATCTCCAGCTGTTTATGGGCAAACAACCATTCACACACACTCACACCTAAGGAGAATTAACAGCCAATTAACCTAACAGTCATGGTTTTGGACTGTGGGAGGAAGCCAGAGTACCCAGAGAGAACCCACGCATGCTCAGGGAGAACATGCAAACTCCATGCAGAAAGACCCCAGGTCGGGAATTGAACCCACAACCTTCTTGCTGCAAGGCAGCAGTGCTACCCACTACTTTTGAGGAGTAATTGCTGAATAGGCCTAATGTGTTTATTTGGCAATAGGCAGAGTCTCTATGATCTTCTGTTTCCCCACCTGTGGGACTGGCTGGCAAAGGGGAGGTAGCTCTGGGACCCTCTTGATGAGGATCATCCTCTTCCTGTAGCGTGAACGGATCGGTCCCATCATGGTCTGTGTGGTAAAATGAAAACTTTGAATTTTAATGCTTTTTCTTAAACAGTACAACAAGATAAGAAAAGTATGGCCTGGTTTTTAATTAATCTTACTTTTAAAACCCATATCCAAAAATGCAATCTAGCATGACAAAAAAGCCTTCATAAGATCATAGAACACATTCTCATAAGCCTTCATAAGAACATAGAAATCTTTCTCTAAATAGAATGCATATGTTTCCAGTTGAATGTCTATGTGAATCGGGCAGCTTTACTAATGTCTTCTAAGAATAGACACCTATCTCAGGTTCACTGTAGGTATGTGGGGTATCATTTATAAATCATGTGTGGAATCCATACAAAAAAAAAAAAAATACTGCAAACACCTGAAAATGAAGAAGAGCAAAAAAAAAAAAAAAAAAAAAAAAAAAAAATCCTGAATCATAAAACAATGTCCAAGCACAGAACCAATTCATTTTCCTCTATAGATCACAGCTGTGCCCCTAAAGTTAGCGGCTCCAAGGCTCCACTTCCTGGTTGGCCCTCTCCCTGAGCCCAAAAAAGCGTTTATGGTCCATTCAAAGTGCCATATGATTATCATTGTGTATTTAAATGAGCCATCTGATCAATATTGATAACACCTTCAGAGTCTGACGTGGACTGACCATACTGTATGTACAGGGACATCCAGACAGCTTTGAGCTTATAACTGACTGTGAGATCTAAGCTCTATAGATACATTTAAAGTATTTTTTCCTAAAAATTACTCTAGGCAGAGAATCTGCGAACTGGTGTTTTTTTCTTTAGCAGCAATTTGTGCTACAAAGAACCAACAAGAACAACTGTAATTAATTAAAAAAATAAAATAAAATAGGTTTAATATCAGCAAGAATGTTCATTATTAGGCCACGGCTTATTTTTTCTAAAGTTTTCCAAGTCTCTTGTTGATTATTTTCTTTAATAAATTGACTGCAGCATAAAATCTCATTCATTTTCGCTTATATTAAACATGTAAACTATTTATACATATGAATATATTAACTACTGCATGTACCACAGATTGCTTAGTTATATTTATTTGTGTTGCTTTAGAACCGTGCATCAAACTATCCTTTCCTTTTTTCCATACTGCAGATCTACAGAGTGTCCTCTACATTTCAACCTCTGTGATGAACAGGGATGACGTGGACCCCTCAGGTCCCGGAGCAGCGCTCTAGGGAGTCTGATCAGCTGATAACAGGCCATCCCTCTTTGCCAGGAAACATTGTAATCCCTGAAATGTTTTCCCTCCAAATTCTACCATTTCTAAATTCTCCAGCATAGCTAAATATACGTACCAGTGTGGATGGGTCAGAGTTTGTATGAGGGACTGCACATATTCATAACAAATATGTTTTTTTATTAATCCCAACCATGGAAGTTAGTGCATGCAATTCCCAGGCCACCTTTTGTACATATGCAAGTTTTATAAATTAGACCCTGATGCACTTTTGGACAATGGGGAATATTAGACTTCCCAGTGAGAACTCAAGCATTGCTGGTGGGGAACATAGAAATTCTGTGAATGCATCTGGAATTCAAGCCTGGTGCAAAACAAATGCACTAAAAAATAAAAGTATTGGAGTTGTGATTTTCCATCTTCCAGCAGAGCAACAACCCCAATAAAAACTGCCAAACCTTCAACAGAGTGATTTTCAACACATTCTTTAGTTAGAATGGGCCAGTCAGCTAAATCTAGCTGGATACTACATTTAAAGATTTTTTATTAGTCAAAAATAAACATATATATTTATTTTACTGTAAAGTTATGCACTACTCTGTATTGCTCTGTAACATAACATATATATCTATAAACATTTATTAAAATATGCAAAAGGTTGAGGTAAAAAGTTCAACACGCATAGATATTTGTGTAACTGAATGTGCATTCTCCTGAGTCTCTCTGATGTTCGATAAAGGGTAAGTACCACCATCTGTTGGGCTGTTCCAAGCATTGTTGTGAGGGCTGGAAGCTGCAGGTGCTACTTCCCAAGGGTCTGAGTGTGAGTTGGTACATGGAGCCCAAGGATTAGAGTTGTTGGAGCATGAGGACGGGGCTACCCAGGGGCTATTAATCACAGGAGTGCTTGACTGAACTGCTGTGAAAACAGACAGGAAAGGAAAACAGGAATTAGACTAGAAATCAGCCATTGTTTTGTCTGCTGACTTCTTGGGTTTCATTCTGACCTCCACTGTGTGTGCCTGTAATGACGCACCCACCTACAGAGTCCCAGGGATTAGAGGTAATGTTACAGGACGGCTGAGCTGACGTCCAAGGGTCACTTGGGCAAGGCTGTGGCTCAGATGAGGATCCAAATATGTCCACCAGATCCAACATGGCAGACTACAGGGCAAACATAGAGACTAATGAAAAAAGATTTTCTCATTAAATTCAAGTCTATAGTTTATTAAACACATAAGAAACCTAACCATAGCCACTGATATTTAGAAACACAAAAAACACATATATGCACATCATAAACACATCACAAATCATATGTACAACTTTTTGGACATTTAAAATCACACAATCCAAAATGTCACACCATTTGCACCACTGAAACATTTCACAGTTACCCAGACACCTATTTTCTAATGCCTATATAACAATGCAAGCCACACTAGCTACTGCAGGTGAAAAGTAACCTTGCCTGCAAGCTAAATTGTTGTTATATTTGTGCATTAGCGAACACATGAGAATCCATTTTATTCTGCTCCCAGTTCATCCATTCCAGACCGACCCAATATTGGTTGACCAATTACACTGCACTTCAGTATTATGGTTTAAATAGGCACATACAGTTGTGACTAAATAAAAGAGCTGCAGAGCCGACCACCGAAACTAAATTAACACAGCACTACAGGAGGACACAGAGAGCGACTGTTACCACATCTGTTTCATCAGAATATACAATTTCATCTTTGAAAGTGGAACAGCAGGAGCAATACAAGATAAGTTGCTACTGTGTCTTAAGAAATTGTGCTGAAGTTAAACAAAACAATATAGAAAGCCCAAATACAGTTGTATTTATTCCCACCTGAACAGGAACTGTGGCTTTTGGGATGGCATCAACAAAGAAAGAAGCCTCTGATCCAAGCTTAACGCAGTCAAGCTTGACTGAAACTTGCAGCTGCCTAATTGTATGGGCATGGTAGTGGGGGAAAGTTGACCTGACTACTTTGGGCCCAGGTTGGGAGAGGGGTCTTGGGTACCAGTAGTCAGGTCAACTTTTTCCTGAAAATTCAGAGTTCTTTTTGCGGTGTTTTATTTTTAAACTAAACAAACTAAATTAAGTTCTAGTGAACGGCCATTTATTTCCTGCTTCTAAAACATTGGTCTTTAAGACAAACAGTTAATCTACACAAGGCACCTAGTATGTTCCTCCAACTAACAAGTGGCATCTATTATGACCAGAAACAGATGCCAATCTGCTACTGGTAGCACTGCTATGCCTGATTGTTGCAAGTTTAACTTCAGGTGAATCCTGGTAATAAGGCTGGTGACTGGGAAAAAAAAGAATGTTCCTCTATTTAGGACAACAGGGAGGAACATTAGGGCCACAAAATGTGGTCCGATAGCTCATGTCTTTATATGTGTGTATTAGGCATGAATTTAAAATTTTGACTTGGTGCGTACTGAAGCACACCTAAAGTAAATAATTTCAAACATGCACTGGTGTTTTAAGGAATCTGTAAACAAGCGTTGTGCAAAATCAGCCTAAAATAAATCATGAAAAGCTGAAAATGAATGTGACCTTCATTGTTATAATGAGGTCATGTAAACCTTTGATGAGAACTGCATTAGAGAAATCAATATTTACACAATGAAGGGAAAGTGTTTTTATCCTCCCTGATATGATGGGCTGTGGTATTTGTGTACCTGATAACATGAACATGCTGTATAATGTGTCAGCTGGCTACCATTTACACCCACTTTTTATTCTGTTTTACTGACGCGACTGAAAGCTCCTGTCTCTCTGAGATAAGAGTAATACGAACATGGTGTAGCCAATTACACGCCTCTGTTACATTTATATAACACAGTCAGTGAGTCTGATTGGCTTTTTGACAGATGTACAATGAGATCAGGACTGTCAGGGTAATGTGATGGAGCATTAAGGTTAAATATGACAGTAAAATAAAACCCCTTTACCCCTTTCCGAGCCCTCTCTGAAAGCCCCCTTCACATTTTTTGTTACTACTGTTATTATTTGTTTAATTTATCCTCCTTATCTCCAAATCCAACCTAAAAGCTTGGCCTCATTCTAAAATCCCTGCCAGCTGCCACCCACAAAAAAGCCCACCCACCAATCTATGCAAATCTGCCTTAAACCAAACACAAGCTATCCTGCTCATACACACACATTTTCAAACTAACCTCATGCGTCCCTGACTGGCTCTCTCTTCGACTCTCATCCAGGGCCTTCTGTAACACGGAGTCGTCTCCTTGGCGACAGCGCTGCTCCTGCATTGGCGGCATAGTGACATCATGAATGTAACAAACCCTTGAGCACACCCCCGTAAGCACAATAATATTTTGGCCTGATCCGGCAGGGTTAAACCAAACAGGGATGTTAAAGCTTATGTACAAAAAGATGATTAGAGCAGAGTAGTGGTAAAAACACCCAAGAGTTCATATTTTGAAGACGAAAAATGTTGTTTTGGGTACACCATAAAAAAGAGGGAATCATTCCACATGACAGAAGAGATGGACGGGAAAAAAAAGTGAAGAAAAATAAAAAGCCCAAAAGCTACAAGGGATTGTCATATAAGCCATCTATCCTCAATATGCATGAAACAACACAGAGTAGAAGGTTAATTAAAGTTTTTTATTGAGCAGCGAGGTGACAGGTTTGTATCTCTTTGTACCTCTGGCTCTTTTTTTATTAAAGCTTTAGGCAATCCACAGTTGTGTTTTTTTTCATCCATCTCTATGGTAACAGTGTAAGGAAGGGCAGATGTTGAAAACCCTTAACCAAAACCCACACAAACGTTATGCTACTACTGCTCATCTGCTCACAAATACCTTTTTTTCCTCCTTTCTATGCACCTTATGAACTATAAATGAAGTTTTTATGGTAAAAATTTAAAAGGTGGGTTAAAAACCCATTCAAATAGAACATCTTTAATATCAGTAGTACATTTGATTAAAAACTGTAGTTTATATTAAAGGCACACTATGCAACATTTTTCAGTTAATTAATGTGTTCCATAACGTTTTGGATGATTAAATGAGTCATTTCAGGTTGAACAAAGGTATTCTCGGCCGCCCTGGTGGTCTGTGGGGGAAATACCGCACTTGCAATTGCAGGAGCCCTCGGCCCGCACCCACAGGCTCAGAAGTCTCGCGAGAGTCGGTCTTGCTTTACGGCGAGAACTGCTACACTCCCCCAGTTAAAAGCATGCTCGTTGCTAGCACATTGGCGATCTTTGTGCAGTTATCATGGCGGAACCAGCGTGAAAACAGCGAAAGCCCATGTCGGAGCAGGCAAGAAAGAGGAAAAGGGCTCTGGACAGAGAGAGGAGTCGGGCGAACGGGTGAACATCGGGCTAGCTTTTTCCGAATGGCGAGAGCTAATATAAAAAGAAGGCTGCAAGGCTGACGCGGACCTCGCGTTTCTGCTGATGCGATTGTAAGTAACATTGGAATGGTTTCTCTCTCTCTGTGTGCATGTTCATACTTTCACTGTGTTAGTCATTCGTTGCGTTCGCCTGTCTGCTAAGCTCAAAACAACCGCGCCTGGCTTGACGGAGAAACCAGGAGAACAGCTGTGCATATTTACGACAGTGCACTTTTACTTTCGCCCTCTGGGGGGAGCCTCGCTGGAAAATCAACACCGGTTGCATAGTATACCTTTTAGTGAATGGGGGCGTCCATTATATCAAAGCTGATTTAAAAGCTCTGATAACAGAGCTGTTGGCATTTAAACAAAAATAAATATGGTCAAATTTGAAGAGGGGAGAGTAAGGACACAGAGCTGCTGGTCTCTTTTAAATTCTTCATGTGTGTTGTTTTTGTTTTCTTAGTTTAATGCTCGTATAATGGTTCAGGTAAAGGTTCCATTAAAAAAGACTGGGGTCAACTGATGAACAAAATGGAGATAATGTGACGAAGTGGTTTTGGTTTTCTTCAACTGAAACTGTTAGAAACCAGGCTCCACTAGGACCCAGTTATCTCTCTTTACCAAGCTGATGTGAAAAACAGGCCGCATATATAACATATTTTGCCTCTCTGTATGTGTCTTTCATTATCTTACCTTCTGACTTTCCTCTCTGCTCATTGCTAAAGCCAGCTGGAGCTGCAGTTCCTCCTCCCCGCTGGTCTGAGGCCGGGCCTGTTCCAGGTCTGAGGCGGCGTGGGGGGACGAGGCTGAGGCTGCAGAGGGAACACAAAATGTTCAGGCTGAGTGAGGGTGGGCGAACAGATTCACAATGGCAGAGAGCCCAGGAGGTGAGGAGCTCATTTGCATATGTTCAGACACCGACACTGATTACAGAAGGAAGGAAGGTTAAAGGAAGAAAAAGCTCCATACATGTTTGTTAACGAGGCAATGAAGGAGACTTGCACAAAACTTGGAAAATTATTACTACTTGGAAACAAAGGGAAAAGGGAAGATCTTTAATGAGAAAAGTAGCTTCAGGTAAAACTTTGTACTAAAACATGTTACCTGCTCCATATAATTCTAGATTCAGACTCACAGTTGAACGAGCACGGTGAGCCCCTGGAGCGGCTAAACTCCTCTCCGTACAGCACAGCCATGCTGGGCTGACTTGTACGTCTGCCAGGGTGATATGCTGGAGGAATGCCTCCATAAACGCCACTGCCGCTTCCGCTGCCCCCTCCGGTGCCTCCTCCAGCCATTCTCTCCTTGGTCTTCAGGGCCTGACTCCTCTCCTGACGCAGTCGGTCCTCGTCCCGCAACAGACACACCAGCTGCCGCGCTTTTTCCCTAACGTTTGCTCCCTGGTCTCTGCCATCACGATCCATATACTGGAAGTCCCGCAGGGTCTGAACAAGACACAAAACGCATTTTTCCTAACAGTTACACTTGACACACTCTTTAATTTTAGATTTGGGGAATGTAGGACAACAGATGGACTTTTTAACCATCAAGCTTTCAGTCACATCTTTAAAACAGAAGCAGCACAAGCCTGAATTCTTGTAACACAATTATAGGACAGTTCATTTAGAAGAACCTTTTTAAAATCCTTGGAATATATGGAGGATTTCAATAAAAATATACATAGTAGTCATTTTTTCTTGTGTGTATAACAGACAATTATTGAAAAAAAAATGCAATATGTGATATTGATAATAGCAATAACTGCATAATTTCGAAAAAATATACATACGGTAAATCTAAATTGTCACAGTCGGAGAATTAATTGTGATTTCAAAATAAACAAGCTAAGAAGCGTCTTTAATAAATTGCTTGATAGTGATAAGGAGCTAATTTCTCAAAATAAAAGTAGTTCTCTTAGCAGGTTTTATATACTGATATTGAAATGATTACACATTTGCTACAGTATATATTGTGCAGTCTCAGATATGCAGGAAAAAGTTTGTGAAAAAATTGCTAGTAATACAAGCTGTAGCAATTCACTACAGGTGGTGCACAGATTAGTCCTTTCTTTTATCAAGAGTTAGTCTAATACGAATAACCTCATTGTTTAAGGTAATACTTCACACATGTAACTGTCATTGTTTTTATTTTTAGCATTTTAATTAAACAAATTTGGGTAAATTGTGAACAAGCTGGGCTGCAGGGCAGCACAGTTTGAAGCACAGTTTGTAGCACAGTTGCCTCTCTGCTGGATTTCTGGCTTCCTCCCACAGTCCAAAAACATGTTTGACTGTTTGACTAGTGACTCTAATTAGGTGTTAGAGGGTGTGTGCATGGTCCAGTTACTGTGTTGCCCTGTGTTAGACAGGAAACTATTAAGTCCATACCCCTCCTTTTTCCCAAAAGACTGCAGGAAATAGGTACAGGCCCCTGATACCCTCATGAATAAGTGGTAGAAAATGGATGAATGGATGTAAATAGTAACCTAGCCTGCAAGCTGAACTCTCGCGGAATTTGCGAGTTCACAAACAAGGTATCAACCTCGTATTACTCCAGCTTAAACTGCTCAAGACTGACCCAAACAGGTCAGCCAATCATATTACATTATTTTGAGACATAAAGCTGTGATGAAATCAAGAGCTGCCAAGATCAGCACTATTTTTCATTTTGAAAAATAGTGCTACTTCTATCACATCTGTTTGGTCAGAATTCACAATTTCAACGCTGTAAGAGGAACAGCAAGAACATAAAGGAGTGTGCTGTTGTGGTTTCTCATGATGTCTTCTGCGATCGCATTTGTTACTGAGATTGGTAGATGTTGTCTACCAAGGGAAGACAACATCTACCAATGAGGGAAGTTGTCTCTTCCCTCAATCAGCTCAAAAGGTTCTGATGAACGTCCATCCGTACCCTGAACAGATTCAGTGGGAGCAATCTAGGGTTAATAATATGTAAAACTATTGAGTGTTACACATTATCAATCTGGCTTCCCAGGTTAGTGAACAAGTTTAAAAGTCTAATTATATATCTTTATATATATATTTCAGTTTTGCATTTGAAGTTGTCAAAATTCAAACTGACTCTGGAAATCAGGACCATCTATAAATGAGGTGTTATTGTTCCTTTAATCAGTAACAAAAAAAAATCCACATTAGAAAAACAGAAATATTTATCCTTGATGGACAGATGCTAATTAAATTAGTTTATTTCTGAGACATGATGTTGGGATCTGGAGATCTGTCCACCTTTCTCCAGCAGAGGGCGCCCTAGGTCTCCTGGAGCTGACTACCACACCTATGGCTGATTTGCTCATCAGGGAGACCAGCATATAAGCAGCGGCAGAACTACACTTCAGTGCCAGAGTGTTAAGCCAGTTACGGTTAGCAAGCCTGAGCCAACCACCCTGCCTGATTCTCTGACTCCCTGAAAGCCTGACTTGAACCTAACCAGTTTTCCGTCCTCTCTGCCTCTTAGGAAGAATCTGACTGAGACCTGGAGCTCTGGAGGAGCAACTCAACTGAAACCTGCCTGCCTGCTCTCAGTAACAAACCTGAAGATCAAACTGTCTGGATCTGCCTACCATCCTCCAAGAAGCAACTTGAAGAAGCTCTGAACACTCAGAAGCCTGAAGCTAAGTTCTGTCGCTGCTAAGCCCTCTGCCATCAGTCAGTCTCTAGACCCTCCTGGTTCCCTCCCTCTGCTGCTCAGCCTGAATCTCTGAACAGGTACAGATCTGCACATTCTCTCAGCTATATGATCATTAGCTGCCTGGCTAACCTAACTGTCCCTCTCTGCAGAGAGCCCTTGTGTGACCAGTCCCGGATTTGATTCCAGCACCTGTCAACTAACCTTGTGTTTATCATTGATTCCAGAATCTGTTAAACAACCTTGTGCAAACCTTTAATAAATTGTTAAACTTTTACTCTGACTCCTGGGTGTTCTGCATGTGGGTTAGAAACCTGAATCCCAACATGACACATGATGTTCATCAGTCATCCAGACATAGGTTACAATCTGTTTCTCTTCATTTAAGAAAAGAAGTACTACCGTACTCTCATCTTTAACAAGTTAAGAGCAACAAGAACATTTTAATAATTACAAGGCCCTACAAATAATCAGTTCCCTTAAATTTCACACTTTGTCATACTGCAACCACAAATTAGTGTTTTGTTGTATTTTTGAATCATTTGGGTGTTAATTCGACAGAACTGGATAATTGCATCTCTGTAAAGTAATTTAAAGTTCAATGTTAAAATAACTGAAAATGATCAAAGGGTTTGAATCTTTAAATATTTTTATAAGTTGGTACATGCGTTCACTGGAGCAAGATTGGTTCACAGATTCAATAATAAAAATAATATACAAAATAACAGCAAACAGCTGCACTGCAGCGTAATCAGGTACCTGAATGGTGAATGCATTTTCTCGGCACTGTTGAGCTACCCTCTCTGATCCTGTCTTCAGTAAGTAATCCAGCAGAGTCAGGGCCTAGATGCAAAAAAGGCTTTCTCTAAGAAAATACAAAGTGATATATGCCAAACAGAGTTTTTTCTCTTCGAGAACATAGAGTGGCAAACCTTGTAGACGTGTCTCCAGTTCTTGCCACTGTCATTGAGCCGTTTCCACACCATTCCCATGACTTCAGCAAATGCCACAACGTTGAAGGTCAGGTCAGCAATCTCTGACATGAGAGACGATGATGGGCCCCATGGATCGTTGGAAGTGGCCTCCCGTACCTTCACATTGACAAGAACACAATGTCCGTTCATCAGGTATGCAGTATCCCCTGTTCTTCCTAGCGCTGGCATCAAGAGAGAATCCTGGTGTCTAAATTTAATCAAGTAAAGGACAACATGTATTTTTGTATTTAATGTATTTTGATTTATATACTTTAAAGAAAATACTTGCCAAAACAAAAATTTTAACAAGTTTTGCTTTCATTCACTTTTACTAAATAATCATTCAAAGTGCTAAGAAAAAAAAATTCAATTATGTGGGTTTAGGAAATAAAAGTATTTTGATTTTGTGAGAAGTTTGTCCCATTAAATTTGATGTAAAACTAAAATGTAATGGGACCCACAGCATTTGGAAAAATCATACCTGTAGTTAAACGTGATACTGAAAATAAATAATGAAATGTCTGACTACCAGTTAAGGAGGAGAATGAAAATCCAAACAACACCAGCAATTCCTCCTCTTAATGGTCCAAAAAACAAGCTGATAGTGAAGGATTGGCCTATTTAAAGACTTTACCTAAACCAGACAGAGATGAAGTGATGCAATCTTAAGCAGGGGGTTAATGCTCAGAGTCCTTTCAGTAGGAATAAACTGAAACAATGTCACAGGAAACAGTTAAGGGAAGTTGCTCCACAGACAATGGAAAAGTGTGGCCAAAAATATAAAGAATAAAACATCTGTTCTGGGGTAGATACTTAATTTAAAGCACAACGGGTATTCGCATAGGAAATAAGATACATTTTTATTCAGAGATACCTTTATTTCTGCTTCTGAATAGTTGTGCACAATATTCTTCACCTGTCGTCGCAAGGCAGATGTTGTCATGGTGAAATGTGGAGTAAGATGTTAGGGGAGAAAAAGTGAAAGCAAACGCTACATGGGTTAAAAGAGGAGTAGGGGGATCAGCAGAGTGAAGGTGGAGAGAGGGAGGGCTCCTCTTCTCTACCAGAAGTCCCAGGACACCCCTGTAAGAAAAAGGCAAACATGAAAAGTAATTATACAATATGTTACTCTGAACAGACTGTTGAAATAACTTAAAACATTGCTTCTTCTGCACTGGTTATGTCTACGTGGTAATTTTCCCACAATATCCTTAAGATCACCACAAACATTAACATTCTCCCTCTGCTCTGCAGAAACATGTATGCTTTTGTTTAGCTTAAGTTTACAGCCTGCTGTATGTAAAGTCAGCAAGCATGTCCTAAGCCTCAAAAACACTGTCTGTTACAACTAGATACTTCACATAGAAGTGGCTCACAGTTTCTGTCTCTAACTTGTCTGACAAAGTTTCTTGAATTTAATGTTAAAAAACAACGGACACTATGAGACCAAGGTCTTGGCCCCATAAGGATCAGTAGGTCTTCATAACATAATCTATGTTGGGGAAATGGGCCTGAAGCTATAAAAACTTTTAGAAAACACACACGCACACTAACCAGTATGTCCTGCTGACCTTGTGAGAAACCTTGCATTGACTTTTATTCCACTACCAATTTAATTTAAATTAAATTCAGACTAATTATATAGCTCCGATTCGGAACACATCATCTCAGGGTACTGTACAGGGACAACACTGTCAGACTGGTACTAAGACAATAACTTCTATCTTCTTTTCATTCAGAAGCAGAAAGTTAGAGTCATACCAATAAATCTTAACCTCAACTCAGTTCACACCTTAGTCCAAAACCTAACCTCTATTCCAAGAAGAAAACTTTCTTTATGAGGACCAGTTGCTGATCCCCTCCATGAGAAGTCCCCACTATGAGATATATTCCTGGAAATTGGCCTTACACTGTCCTCACAAAGTAACAAATAGGTAGGCACACTGATCCACACCCACACACAACCAACCCAGATACATTTTCTAAATTCCTATTTGAGAAGAAACTCAGGGGGATTGATGATTCCAGGCGGCTGCAATACTGTCGCTCTCCCTCTGATTACAGTGAGTTCTATTAACCCAGTAAACCCAGGCTGATTTAATATGACCTTAATAATTTTAATCTTATTTGACTTGGAAAAAAACTGATTTATTTTTATTATAATATTAATTCTTTTGCAAGAGTTTTCATCTTTTATTCTTTTATCTCCTTTTACGATTGTCCTTTAATTCTTTATCAAACATTTCACCCTGTTCATAATAAGTGATATCTGTCCCTTAAGCTTTGTCTCTAATCTTTGAGATGTAGGTCAACCGAGTTAAGACTTGACCCAAAGAGCAGCTTTTTCTCTGTTGCTGTCTTTGTTTTTTTCCCTGGATGAAAATCTGCACAGAGTAAAAAAGTAAAGCCTTTATAGGTTATAGAGCATAAGTTGCACTGCTTCCTTTTGCCATAACTTTCTCAGTGTTAAAACTAAAGCTGTCATAATATACCATCTGCTAACCTCTAAACTACAGAAAGGTTCACAAATAACTCCAAATTCCATATTATCATTTTAATTTTACCATTTCAACACATGAAGATCAATGTATTTTCTTTCTATAAGCTTTCACCTCCCTTTGACTGAAATGAGGAAGGTTTTGATAAGATAAATCAGTGAGTAGAGATCAATTGTATATTATTGAGCCGAGGCCTTTATAAGGTCAACAAATGTAACTAGATTAAAAGAAATGCAGCAAAAATAAGAACTAAAAGTAGAAATGAGATACAAGCATCTCCACTGCAAAATGATCAAGAAATACATAAAAAATTCTTAAAATAAGCATATTTACCTTTAATTTGAGTAGGTAAATGAGATGATTTTCCTGTGAAATTAGTATATTTACTCTTCAAATAAGACAATGTAATTATCTTTAAAATTCTAAATATAAATTGTCTTGTTCCATTAGCAAAGTGTCTCACTTACCTCCTCGATTCAAGACAAAAATCCCTTTGCAGTGTAATATTATCTAAGACTTTTATACTTATTGAACCTTTAACACTTCGAAATATCCATAAAAAACTTTGTCCTCTATTAATACTAAATTCTAACTCTTCACTTAACATAAAATTGCACTCAAAAATGGACTCATCCATCATTAAGTACTCTATAAAGTCATACAAGAATGATTTAATGTGTGGAAAATCCAAGTTTAGGTTTGATCCAAACAGAAAAATGTCTGTAGGGTCAATTGAAGAAGTCTGTGGGCAAGAGACACACTCACAATCTAAGAGACCTGGAAAGCTTTTAAAAGGCAAAGTTGGCATATATCACCAAGCCAAGATGTGGGATGATGATAAACCTCCAAGACTGAATGCTAGAAAAATCTAATCAAAAGCAATTTTAACACAGTATCATCTGCAGGCATTTTTTTGTTTTTCTTTTTTAAATTCAATTCACAATATAAAAAAAAATGGATGGATGGATGGATGGATGGATGGATGGATGGATGGATGGATG